ACACATTACATTACAGTAATCGGGCAAGAGAACCTTGGTGGTATACATACACATTACATTACTGCCAGTAATCTGGCAAGAGAACCTTGGTGGTATACATACACATTACATTACTGCCAGTAATCTGGCAAGAGAACCTTGGTGGTATACATACACATTACATTACTGCCAGTAATCTGACATGAGAACCTTGGTGGTATAGATACACATTACATTACAGTAATCTGGCAAGAGAACCTTGGTGGTATACATACACATTACATTACTGCCAGTAATCTGGCAAGAGAACCTTGGTGGTATACATACACATTACATTACAGTAATCTGGCAAGAGAACCTTGGTGGTATACATACACATTACATTACTGCCAGTAATCTGACATGAGAAATATTATAATGAGAGAATTTTCATAATCATGTGCAAAATATTTCATGTTTTACTTTTTTGAAAATGGAGAAATCGACAGTTGTCATAAAATGTATTTTGTTTGTTATTTGAGAATGGGGCTCGTTAATGAGTACTTGTAGTAAGCATCTTTATTTCTTGAAAATGTTGATATAATGATAATGTTTTTTTGTTTTTATTTGCAAACCAGGCCAGTGAAGATTTGTGTTTTGTAGTGTTTGCACTCTTCAACGTTCTGTGGGCAACGCTATATTTAGAATCGTGGAAACGTACTTGTGCTGAGCATGCTTATCGCTGGGGTACTTTAGACAGTCAGAGTGAACTTCTCTCAGAGCCACGCCCTCTTTTCTTGGTAATAATTATTTGTAACTTAATAATATTTTTACCTTTTAAAAAACAGTTAACAGATACATTAAGCAAATGTACGTGTGTGTGCAGAGCTGGGTACAATGGTTTGTTAAGCGACACTCAAGAGGTGTTGGGTTTTAATCTCTCTTTTTTTTTCTTTTTGAGAGTAGTTGTTTGAAAATATTTAAATACTAATCATACAAGGAAAATTTGAATTTTGATTTATATAGTGCCCATTACTTAAAGTTATTCTATTAAGTAAATGTGCAAACACGTAACAGCACCTTCCATGTATTGTAGCAGAGCATTATGGTGAAGGGTACAATTAGCAGCTATATTGCTCCAACAGTGTGTACTGAATGCCTAGTTTACAAGAAAAATGAAAGTATTATTTTAAACAGTCGATTCTTTTCACAGCCACACTGTCTCTCCTTTACTTTTTGTTTGTTTTCTCTGACTGCAGTATTACTGTTATTCTGTTCTGTTTAGCTGTAATTATTTTATTATTATTTATTCATTTGATTGACACCTTTATCTAAGGTGTATGTTTAAGTTATCAACAATGTTTAGTAAAATGTGACTTGTTATTTTTTGTTATAGTTGAAGGATTATGTTGTTTTTTTTCTGGTCAAACTGCTAGTGTTACTCAGTTTTGTTGTTTTTTAAGTTTAATTAATCAACAGTTTTTTATTGAAAACACTATTACTGTTAACCTGTTTGGAACGGTGATTATCAAATAAAAATTTCTATCACTTAATATAGCTGCAGTTCTTTTAGTGTCTGCAATAGGGTGCTCTTGAAATGAAAACTTATTATATATATGTGTAGCTATATGAGTATTGAATGTAGCATCAAATATGTGTACAGAAAGAAAGCTTGTTTTTTTAAACATAAAAACATGATTATTGTTCTGTTTAATGTATTATAAACTACACTTGAATATTTTATTTCATTTATGTGGATTACCTGTAAAATAAATGGGTTTAATCAAATGTAAACTCATAGTTACGGTAACGTTATCAGTAAATTAGTATTATCAAAGTTTCAAACCTTCATTCATTATGCATTCCGAACCTTTGAAGATCCAAATCTAACCCTTTGTTGTAGTCTTCAGTTTCATATGTGTAATGAAAAAGTTCAACTTTAATAAACTTTAAATTTAATTAAACTATTATGACTTAGAATTATTTAGATAATTTGTTTTAAAGACACCCAAAGATAAATAATCAGTTACATCTAAACCATGTAACATATAGTACCAAAAAAAAAAAAGTGATGCATAATACATCAAGTTATAACCGAATTTCATTTTCAGGTTAAATTAATATATCACACCAGGCATCATCCTGTCATAGTTGCTAATTATTTATTAAGTGCTAAATTTGTTGTCAGAGGTTCGTGATGTTTAGCTTTTCGTACGTATAGTGAATAAGTTTAACCAGTACAGTTTAATGCACACAAAACAATAGATGAGTTTATAACTGAGATTTTCTTGCAAACAAGTAACCAAGTTAATCAACCTTTTCTTGTTTATGTAATAAATACAACAATAAAAGAACTATAAGAAAACTTCTGAATGCTTTTATATAAAATTCAATATTATAATGTTTTATTTTATTGTTAACATTTAGGGTCCACTTCAAAAAAGCGAGGTAACTGGAAGGCTTGAGCCCACTTATCCTGCCTGGAAACAGAACTTGTTCAGATATTGTGTTAGTCTACCTGTCATTGCCTTCTGCCTCCTCATAGTATTTATGGTCATGTTTTTGATTTTTGAGCTTCAGGTAATAAATTGTTTTCTTTTCAACTATAAATTTTAAATCCTGATTTTTTTCATCCAAATGTGAAACTATCTAAGTCATGTTGTTTTTTTAATATCTTTCTAGGGCTCGATTAAGCTTTTTCAAGCATTTTATAACCTTAAAAAAATCAATTCATATAAAAGTTTTTTTTCTTTTTATAGCTTTAATCCTTAGGTTAGAGAACCAGTTACACAAAATTTGAATACTACGTTTTAAATGTGATATAAAAAAAACTATTTATGAACATACCTTTACTGCACATGACACAGGGTATCACTGTCTTACATTCAAAATTTTAGTAAGCTACCAATTAGAATAGCATAAAATCTTAGCTAATAATCCATATTTTAATAGTATATAAGTTTTAAGTTCTTAATTCTACAAGGCAATATAAAAAAATCCTGAATTTCCCCTAGTGTGACCCACGTGACACATTTTCTCTTAGCATGTCATCATCCCTATTTTAACCACCACCCCTCAAAAATGTACAAAATTAAACACAAATTACTCTCTACAAAACCATCATTGCTCAGACAAACCATAATTTTTATAGTCTTCAATTTTTTATGGTTACAGAGCTATTGAATAGAAAATCAGACCCCTCCTGCCTCGCCTACCTGTCACATCCTCTCTTTCAGAATTCGTTAATAGTTCTCTCTTATGTTTCATTATATATTACCTATAACCAATAGAAAGTCAAAGTTTTCATCTATCCAATGATGTATTGTATAATGTTATGTTCTTAACAGTTAATTGTCAGTTTCACTCAGAGTACAAACCTTGTTCCCATGAGACAGTTAATGACTAGCTTGGATAAATTTGTCTACTTTTTGCATGTTATTAGTCTATATTCTTTGATGCATTATTCAATTAAATAAAAATTATTAAATGCATTACTGTCATTTTTTTAAGTCTAATTATAAAAGTAACTAAAACGTAAAAATAGGGATCCTTTTAGGTTAGTTAAGATTAGATTAGGTAAATAAATTATAATAATATTATAATAAAAATAGTTTCACAAGACACACACACACACAAACAGCTCGTAGTATCATGTGGGTAATGTAATTCATTAGCGTAACGTGAGCTGCACTTTCCCTGAGTAATTTACAACTTATTTTGGAGCGGATAGTAGTTACACATGGTTCGAAAGGTAATAAAACAATAAAATTTAATTATAAATAGATGTATACTGTTACAATTTGAAGTCATTCTAGAAAGAAAAAAAGGGTAATTTAGATTTATTTCAATTTTTTTTGGTGGTTACGAGGTCAAATTTTGTGAATATATATACATACTATTTTGAAAGTTAGAAGCATTAAATCTATAAAGACTTTAAACGAGTACAAAGAGATCACGTGGTTGGTCAAATTGACCAAGCTTGTATTGAGAGAGTTAATGTAACGTATTTAGCTTTCGAAGCAGTTTGATGAATAAAATACCAAAAGTTTTTGTTTTGTTTTTCACATCTATGGTGTGAAATATATATTTGCTCTTTTTTGTAACTTTATCAACAGCCCTTTGGAATTAATATAGTATTTAATTTTGAAGCAGATAAACATCATTTAGGTTTTGTACATTTTTCTCATACACATATTTTTTACACAAATATCCTACATTTGTTACTGGCTTGCTTCTCCAGAGGTTCCATTAACTCAAAGTTATGCATAAATTATGCGAAAATTCTGTCCGTGCATAGAAATTGACACTATACGTGCCGTATATCCTTTTTCTCTCATTTTTTTCCCTCTGCTGGATATAAT